ATTGTACTCTAAACACTTAACACCCCAGATCAGCTGGACAATGGCATATGATACTACTACCAGACAAAGGATAAGAAAAATTCGTACATTCGCAGTCTTGACAGAAATATATGATTCCATTTTTTTCAGTTTTGTTTTACAGACATAGACACAATCATACTAAAATACCCAAGGATAGATTATAAACATTATGTAATTATTTTCATTTGTATTACATGATGAGTTTCACGATACAAGAACTATATATTTCAATGCATCAAACAGTTTTGAACCACAGAAAGCAATATAATATAAAATAATAGAACAGTTATCTTAAAGTCAGGAGTGTCACATGGCCAGTACATCAACTATGCCACTGAAAACCAGTCAAAGCATGAGACACGATAATAACAAGATTTATTTTCTTCAGAATTTGTGAAATTTGCATGGAAAAACTCAGACTGCATTTTGAAGTTTATCCAGGTGAAGCGTAATTTAAACGTAATTATTCAAGGTTATTTTTGATGTTACGACTTCCCTAGCCAAAGGTTTTTAGGGTTCATTGTTTTTTATTTAATCAGGAGCAGGTAAAAAGTTAATTAATAGAATACCATTGTCTGAGGGTCTCTGTAGTCATTGACCACAGTCACACAAACAGGATATGTTTTTTCACTTTACACGTCTCAGTGCTTTTTGACTTGAGATCAGAGCAGAGATCAAAGGAACAGACGTGGATAAGACAATGACCGGCGTATGGTGTTTGTGAGTTACGTACATCTCTTAGCCATAAACTCAGAACACTGAATAGATTACAGATTTCACTTTGTCCAATAAAATTTGGGCTTAGCAGGCTACCGTTGACATTTTGTGGAATCCTGAGATGCCCAAACCTCTGGAAATGTCCTATTTCCTATCTCTTTTTTTCCTTTCTTGAAATAGACCATGATGATCTCAGACCCTAAATCACCTTACTGAAATACACAAGCCTAGGGAGAGAACTATTTGATTTCGAGATTATATCTGGTAATCATGGAATAAGTCTAGGCCATAATTGTAAATAGAACTTCTGGTTACAACATGGGTTCTCGAGCAATCATTTTGTATTTTTAAATTTCTGCTTAAGACCTCCAGAACTGAGTCATGGATGTACCTTGGGTTTATTAATGGCCTTTGAATTAATGCAGAAGTTAATGAATTGAGCTGCAATTTCTAACTATGCAAATCTCTAAACGAGGTGACTAATGACCCTCAACGTGCAATGTGCTGTGTGGCTGATTTAACATCTGACTTAGTCCTTTGCGGGGCCAAGGTCATTGTTCACGAGTAACTTAGTTTCTTGCGGATCCTATGGTTGCTAGTGTACATAATTAACGCTCAGGAAAAATACAGGCCCTAGAGCAGAAGAACAAAAGGCCTACAAGTATGGATAGCTAAGAAAAAAAGAAGCCAGGATGTAAAAGCAAATCAACCTGGCTTGGACCAACAGATGTCTATAGTTCTCTTAAGCTTTGTGACACCGCACAATTCAGGTTAAGGGCATGTCAGCAATACTTTCCTGCATTGCACCTGGGCCTTTGAAACCTTGAATTTTACTATTGTGCTTGAGCCAAAAAGGCAGAATAAGAAATTGGTTCACTGAAGTACACACGGGGCTTTCATCAATGGCAAATCTACGTTAGCAACACTGAGGATGGTAATCCAGAGTCATTTGCATTTTTCTGTATGTGTGCAAGCTTCCACCATGCATGCATTGTCCTTTTCAGGCCCAGGCATGCAATTTGAAGCCATTCAAAAGCATACTAATATGTTTTTAAATGGAGGAGTCTCAAATCACAAGGGGGCCAGCATATCCCCAAATCCCAGCCAGAGTCAATTTTTCATCAGACAAAATAAGTTACACTATTCACATCAGCTCTATGGTAATTCAGTTAAGCAATAAATAGAAAAATCCACCGAACAGTTGCTCGTTGGACCTCGGACCATTTTGTCATTCCCTTTCTGGTTTCTCCATTCATTTACATAAAACAAGTAAAATTTACTTTCCAATTGATACACTTTTCTTGCAAAAACAACACTTTTTTTTTTTATAAAAGTAAAGAAAGGCACTTTGTAAACTATGTACAAATCTGTTTCTTTCTTGTCTACACTAAGGAGATAGAGAAGATACTAAAGGCAGGGCCAAGTCTTTCTGCAAGTGACTGCAGCTGTGGAGAATCTCGAGAAAAGAGCCAGATTTCCTCCACAGCCAAACCGCATCCTGGAGCTCATGAACTCATAGGATGCTCCGATTCAGTTGGGCACTACAGGACAAGGGGTCAAACTCCTTGATCTCGTACACGTGGTAAGGGATTAACTCACGTTGGACCAAACCAGCGAAAGCAAGGTTTTGGTACATACCTGCCTACCAGGATTGGTCTTAGGCACTTGGGAGAATGGACATTCTGCTAAATGTCAGGGACACAGCTGATAATAACTTGTGCTCGTGTTGAGATGCCTTAAACCCGTTCGTTACCAACTGACCAGAGAACATTTTGCAGTTGGGGTTAGAATCTTCCATAAATCACCCATTGGCTAGCCCATCTCCATGTGCTTTGTAACTTGAATATTTAGGTGTTTGTTTATAAGAACATGACTTTTTATAATTCAGAGCATATGGCTCTTTAAACCAACCATGCAATAGTGGTTTATAATTCATCAGAAAGAAATAAAAACCAGAAGCCGCAGTCAGATAGAAGAAAAGCGATTTGGGGCTGTTGGACTCAGCAAAAAATAAGCATGGCTTGATTCAGTAAAAGATCATTATTTCTAAAAATCAGAGCCTCATTCAGTAGGTCTTAAAAAAAAATCTCATGCCTCCTCTCTACACACATAGTTGCATGCTATCTTGGACTCTGATCCCATACCTATGTAATTTATAAATGCACATGTCATATGTTAAGACCAACTAGAACTGATGATTTAAAAGTGAAATCAAAAAAGCACATCACTGGAGAGTACTTGTGTGTCTCTGATGAAGGGCAATTATTTATTAGCTTCCTTACGATCAAAACACTGGGTAAATTATCTTTGCTGGAAAGTATTGAGTGAGTCATGAAATCAAGGAGCCAGAGTTTGAAAGGATATTAGAGATGATAGGCCTGACATTTCCTTCAGAGGAAACTGAGCCCCAGGAAAGGCAATTGCTCTAAGGCAACAGAGCGAGGCCTAGAACCCGGGTCTCTTGACCCTCAGTCTGCATCCTTCCACTGCACTAGCTGGCTCCTTGATAGGAAATATGCCAGAAGATGAAAAAACAAAAAACAAAAAACAAACCTACTTAATTCAAATAAAGACTGTTAATTGACCATAGAATTGTAAACTTGGCTTACTTAATGAGTGGCTAATTGGGGTATTTTGGGGATTTACTTCAAGGTGAGTCTTTAACCAGGACATTTTTTCCCCCCACACATGCCAAGTCATATGTCAAAACAGGTTATTTTTGAATTTTCAAATTATCAGAGTGATTGAGATACATTTTGGAGGAGAACGGACTATTTTGGGAAAAGTTTGGTCTGGACTGGCGTGGAAGGGCAGAGTCAATCCCAGGTGGAGTATATCCCCTGGCCCTCTTGGAGCTGTGTGTACTTTTGCCAAGTCATTGTCTATCATTCTGTAAATTTAAACCCTAAATGGATTTTTAAAAAAGTATGCCTTCTCCTTACGTAGAGTGTCATTGAGGGCAAGTGAGACCTGACTTGTATTTCCGAGAGAGGATTGTTTCTAGGCACTAACGTACCTTTAGTGGAAATGGTCAACCAGGACAGTGCTTCTCAAACTTCCCTGTGTACACGAGTCATCTGAGGATCTTAGTACGATGCAGATTTGGATTCTGTAGGTCTGGGGCAGGGGAGCTGAGAGTCTGCATTTCCAAGCAGTGCCAGGCGATGCTGAGACAGCTGGTCCTCAGGGCCTACTTTGAGTAGCAAGGGCCTAGGGCACTGGATGAACTTGGACAACTTTCCCAAATGTTCCCTTCACCCTTAGTGCTGGTCTATATTGGGAGACGAGAACTCAGATCAATTTACTTTGGCAACCCTGGAAGCCCTAGCGATGAGTTCACTTGCAAACATCAGGGCCATGCGGAGCCCAGTTCCTGTCAGCATGGGCTTGCTGGGCTGGCATATTTAACTCCCAGGGGTGAGTGCAAATTCACTACGTCCAGCTAGTGAGTAAACACAGAGAATGGCTTTGCCATCAGATGAAATGAAAAACAGAGGGAGGCAGTTTGAGTCATGAACGTTCTCTTTAAAATGGAGAGCCAGGCTTATGGCCGCTCTTGGGAAGGCTGCCCTTGGAACAGACTTGGAGACTGTTGCTACCAGACCCTGGCCGCTGTAGCTGTTGCCACCACTGCCCAGATGCCTGCTTCCTTAGAACTTCTATTTGAACGCTTCCGCTGGGACTGCTGTATCTGCCTCTGCCAGGATTTCGCAAATGGATCTACTTCAGAGAGATACTAACTCCTGGCTTTGCTTACATTTTCTTGGCTGCCCAGGATTTCTCAGAACACCCAAACCAAACAAAACCCCCTCTCTAAAATAGTATGTGAGATGTTATCACTCACCTTTTCAGGGTGGTTTTATGAATATTCACCCGGAGAAGAGCAGAAGCCCCAGAGTAGCCCTAAATTACACAGGTAGTTTCTGGTCTGTGGAAAGCCCTAAACCTCTTGGCTGGCGACTGTTGAAAGTATCACAGAGATAAAAAGAATCAGATAAACTATACAACGCTGTGCTGGAAATTGAATATAATCATCCACTTCATATTCCTCAATGGGCTTTGGGTTGCTATGGCATCTTCCTCCACAAACAGGGACTGCATATACTACTATGTACTGCAAATACTCATAACCTCATAGCAGAACACACCGTACCCACTAAATACGTAAACAGCTGTACTGGGAAGATAGAAAATAGTCTTTTATTTTACCTAAGTGATAGAAAAATAGTCTTCAAAAATACATTGTGAAACTTACGGGTTTATATTAAAGTAGAATTTGTATGTACAGTAAGGCAGTATTTCCATTAGCATCCTGCTGTGATTATCTTTTAAAATTAGTCTTTGGGGATTTTTTTTTTTAACCTAACCGAAGACTAGGGTGTATAATAAATTATCTCTTATGCTGAAATGAAACAGGAAAACATTGTAGAAGAATTTACCACATGAAACTCATTTACCTGTCATGTTAGAAAATTTCGCTTTCCAAAACTATTTTCTCTAGAGGCTTCAGAATAAAATACAATTTAGGGGGAGAAAAAAAAATCCATGCTTAACAAATTCAAACCATTTTAAGAAAAAACTGGAGGCATCATTTTGGCTTGCATATTGGCAATATATCACTAAGGTGAGAGGAACTGATGTAAACAATGTATCTGGTGTTCTGGAATGCATTCTTTCTTCAAATGGGTCGTATTTGGTTAATCTAAATAAAATGAAAGAGGGGTGCAAAGGTTTGTTGGTTTTTGAAAGCGGTTTTCATGGCATTTTTCTCACATCTATCATCTTCCTGTGGTAAACAGCTGTGGGTATTTCATTTCGTTTGGTCACATACCAGACCATGAAAGCCCCTTCCAGAGGATATACCTATTGGCACTGTCCCTCAAAAATACTAAAGGATGTGCTTTTCTTTCATTGAACACATAATTTTATAACTAAGAGCAAAAAAAGTCAATCTACAAATCACAGGAAACAAAACAATTTGTTCTGGAATCAACTGTTGGAGAAAGAGGCAGCTGGTTGAAAATGGAGCATGAGGAGCGAACTATGGGCTGTATAGTGTCATTCTAACCCACATTCTCGAGCATTCTCTAGTAGGGTGCATTTCCTGTACTCTGTAGTGTTACCTGAAAAGAAATCACATTTTAACCAATCATTCCGTTAATCAAGCTATCACTGAAAGGAGTGCATAAAACATGTGGGATCCAGGTAATCCAACCCACCCAGCTGGAGTCCGCAGCTGCTTGGGGACGAGGTGAAGGAGGCCAGGTCTTCTTCGGCTGGATTCTCTTGAAGAGATGGCGGAGCCTCCTTGGCTGGTTCTTCAAACGCAGCCAGGTTCTGAGCTCGCGGATCCTGCACTAACACCAGGATGTTGTTATCCATCACCCTGGACACCTTAGCATACTCTTTACTGGCTTCAGGAGTACTGGGCTTCTCTGTCTGGTTGCTGTTCTCTTTGTGTTTTGGGAGCAATGACAGTGCTCCATCTTTGTTAACCTTGTGAATCTCCACGTAATCCAAGGGTTTCACAGAGATAAAAGGGGTTTTCTCCAGGGGTAACAGCCATGCTGTGCCTTGGTCAGTCTTGGAATGGAAGCTTTCTACTTCTCTCCGCTCAGCTGCCTTTTCCTCCCCTTCAGTCTCGGTGGGTTTTGAAGATCTTAAAGCGTGTGTGTCTGTTTTGCCCAACAAAGTGGCCGATGCCCCCGCCGTGCCCACAGCCAGCTTACACACATCAGCAATGCTGTGGTAAGAAGATCTGGGGCTGTGCTGGCTGGGGGGCTGTGGTAAAGGCCATGTTGAGGATTTGGATCCGTCGGCAGGGAAATAGGGGATCTTGCCTTCCAAGCGTGTGCTCTGGGCGTCCCGAGTGCGGGTAACCTTTGTGTGGGGATTCTCTGGCTTCTCAATGCCCTCAGGAGTGTTACACATGGAGGGGTTTGCCCGGGCTTCCTCACACTTTTTAGACAAAAGGGAAGGGCTGTCGCAGCTGCCCCGGCCAGAGTCACTGTCTGGATCCAGGGGTGTGGGCTTCACGTCTTGACCCGGGTGTTCTTTTGAATGCGCTGGCATCAGCTGCTGGTCCTCGCTGTCATCCACTTCTAAAAACTCGACCAGCAAGTCCTCACAGTCAGAAGTGGGAGGGAAGTCTTGGCACCCCAGGGCGCTCAGCAGTTCCTCCGACTTGCCCTTCTAGGAAAAGGAGAGATGGCCGTTAGCTTCCTAGCGTTCCACGTCGGCCAAGCCCGTGGTCCTGACTAGGGGCAAGCGGGATGTGCTAATTGCCTCACAAAATTCCCCAAGCGTCAGACATTTATGTACCAGGCTATCTAGAGTCACCTCCTGGACTACTACTCATCTCATATTTTTCTTCCAGTTAATTCATGATTTTAACTTAGTCTCTTTCTGAGCGATAATGATTATGAGTTCAATGGGCAAGTAGTATATGCACACATAATAAACACGCACCTATCAAATACGATGTTTGCGAAACATCAAAAACCACAGTGCTCATGCCCGCATTTGGTGCCCTGGGACCCGCTGGCCCTGAGGTCTGGTTGCTGGCCTCCTAACCAACTCCACCATCTTCTGGAGTCTGGCAGCGGTCAGCAGATTCTCGTCTCTCCCGTCTCTCTCAACTCCGCCTCTTCCCACTTCTTCCTTTCCCGTCCCTTCCCCTCCTACCCGACTCCTTCCTCTCCTTCTGCTCCATCTCCTGCTGCTCCTCTCCCCTCCCCCCTCTCCCTCTGTCCCCGTTTCCTCCCTCTCCCCCTCTCTGTTCTCCTTCTTCTCCCCTCCTCCTTCCTCCTGCCTTCTCTTGTTTTTCACTCTTCTTCCTGATTGCGTGACCTAGGTCAGCTTACTGGTACCCAAATCTTGACTCTATCACTTATTAAAGGGTACTGACTTTGGACAAGTTGCTCTATGGTCCTCACTTTCTCCATCTGTAAAATGGGAATAATAGTAGCCATCTGGGAGGGGTCTTCTGAAGATGAGAGGTAATTGTGTTTAAGAATATGAAAACCTTTTTGTGTGTGTGTGACACAGACAGTAGTTATTTCATTATTAAGTCCCTGTGGCTACAAGGTCAAATTTCGAGCTAGACAGTAGTTAATTTACTTAGTTGAGATGCTCACGTTGGTTCTATGAAGGTCAGTACTAGGACTGGGTAGTGGGGTAAGAGCACTGGACCAGGAGCCCAAGTTCTGGGGCTCTAATCCCTGATCCCGTATTTGCAATCAAACTGAATGCAGTCAAGACAAATTCTCTGGGACTCACTTTTCACATTCTTGTTGTGTTGTTAGCCTCACAGTGGCTGGGTCAAGTGATGTAATGTGCAGGTCATTACTTTTAGACACATTAGTGTTAAGCTGAAGTCAAATTGAAACTATATATTTCAATCTGGACAGAAATTTAAAATGTTCTAACCCCTCTTTTTATCCAAAACACTTGAATTTAAATCCCTCTTGAATCAGCCTAAGCGGGCCCTGGCAAACACTAGCCCGCTTGTACTGACCCAGTCTCTACTGAGTGCTCAAAGTGAGCAACAATGACAATAGGATATTGCAATTATGCAAAGAACATTCAAGTGAACACTTCAACTGAAGTATGACAAAGGAGGTGGTGGGTCCCCGTTTTGTATTAATTAAAATATTCACCCTCTTTCTAAATTGGTTGTTTGCACAAAATGTTTATTTCTGTGCTTATGAACAGACCTGGTAAAGCTAGCCAAGTATTACTGTGTGTTTGCATGTTTTCTTGACTTTCTCTCCTTGCCCTCTGATGTCTAGTGTCTGAAGGTAAGGACCCTCATGCCTCCGCCCGTCTTTCTGTAAACATGCATGCTGAGGAGCAGGGCTGAGTTGGGCGGGGACTGAGCCGGCCAGGCTGAATTGACGGGAATTATGTGCACCTGTGTAAAGGTCACCATTACAAAGCAGTGAGTCACACTACATTCTCCCCCTCTTCCCACACTTACCTCCAGCAGATGAGCATCAAATCCTTTTATTTTTGGCCCAGGAACTGGTGGAAGGATGCAGGTCACCATGCTTTAAAATAATTTGTGAAAAAGAATTAGATGACTCACCTTCTCACTTTGTAATTTTTGAAAGATCAGTATTCTCTCTAACTACCTGCTACACGGACTATGGTGGACAGGAGTTAGATTTCTGGGGCTCCATGAGACTCACGATCAAATTGAAGACAATAATTTTAGGGGCCTACATATAGTATTTAACTCTGGCTCATCGAGGAGGCCGATGCTGAAATGAGTGGATTATTTGGACTACTTGCTTCTCTTGATTGGAGCTGCTCTTAATGGGAGTTTTACTAATGCACCACCGGGAGCCTGAGTTTGATGAAAAGAGCACCAGCTTCAAAGGAGTCCATCCTGCTCCTTGTGCTAGCACTGAGAAAAGATTTTCTATGGGCGAGCACACTGCAGCTAATGGCTCAAAGGAAGTGCTTGACTTATGTGTAGGTTTTCAACATCTGTGCATTATCCTTTTTGGCTGCGATCCCTGACAACCATGATTGGGAGGAGGGGTGATAGACAGTGAAGTACCTATGGCCTTTCAAAGCCACAGCTGTGACCATAATCAGACAGATGACAGCAGAAAGAACGGCCACAAAGATCCACACGATGGTATCTTTCATGGTGACATCTACAAAGCAAACGGTCGGAAAGCTCTGATCACATCAAAGCACCATTAAAAACAAAAACAAAAAAACCCCAAATAAGCAGAAGTCATGAACAAAAGGGTTTCCCCCCCTTCCCTACCCCTCTTTTGATTTGAACAGCAATCCAAAGAGTGCTCATGTCACTGAGTGCCCCAGTGACAGGTTTAATTTTTATTATTAAAGTTGAACACGTTGCATATATTTTACAGTACTCTATAAATTTCAAAATGCTTTTACATATTATTTTATTTGGCCCTTTAGGAGGAAATTCAAGGTCACATGGTCCACTGTAGTAATAATAATAAAGGTCATCACATATTAAGGTTTTTTTAAAGCCATCAATGGTGCTAAGCTCTTTCCAGACACTGCCTGGTGTATAAAGATGAGGACACGGAGGCTCAAAGAGTTATTTCCCCACGAACATGTAAATTATAAAGCTGCAGCTGGGATTTGAACCTGGATCTTCTGCCTCTGGACCTCGTGCTTTGATTTATTTAATAAGAGCCAGGGCTGAACTGGATGCACATGTGAATCTTATGACCCACAGGTCAGGGCTGTTTCAACACCAAGCCAAAGCAGGCCTTGTACTTTGGCCGGGCAAGTTGGCAGAGGAGCTAGGCTTTGCCATGGGGTTCTGGGTAAGGCCTCAAACTTCACTGAGCTTCATTTTCCTCACTTTTGATTCCTAATGCTAATCCTATTCTCTCTGAACACCTGAGAGGGTTGGAAGGGCCAAACAAGGTGAAGCCTTTATAAACTATAACGTACTTTAGAAAAGCAAGATAAATCATTCTCTTGTGGACCACAGGCCGCCCTGTTTAGTGGCACTTAGAACTGAGTGCCTCTTATGTACTGTGCCTTCAAACAGGGTCAAGATGTAATCGACCTCAGGGACTGAAAATTGGTTCATGCCTTTGAGATGGCATACGACCTTACAAATTTTGGGACAACTAGATGATGACCTTGAGCAAATTAGAGGGATAGGGCAGATGGGGAGGGCAGAATGGCTAACCATCAAGCCCTCTGAAACATGCCAAGCCCGTGTTTGTAGCCTTATCCTGGAAACTGGTCCTCACTGACAGTGACCTAGGGAGCAGTGCTACACTTCCAGGTGTCTTTGTATTGGATGGAGAGATGATAAACCCACCTCTATTTATTCTTCTGGCCAAGGCTTAAAATAGTTTCTCTGTTAGTAGTTACTACATGCAAACTTACTAAATTCATTTTGTTTTAGAAATATTTTGGAGTATAAGCAAAAGGGAGCCAAGACACTCACCATTAGGTATCTGGATGGAGCTCTCTGGGCTCCACTCACTCCAGAATCCATGGTCTGGCTTGCAGCGAACCTGGACAAGGTATTTCTGTCCTGGATATAAGCTGAGAATCTTAAACTGAGTCTGCTGCCCAGCAAAATGAGTCTAGGGACAAACAAGGAAGATAGAAGTCACTCTGACTTGTGTTATGTTTCTTCACAGACGTTTCCTCTAGATAATAAACTATTGGAGAACCGAGGCCAGCAGATTCGATTTTGTAGATAAATCTCTGTTCTTATCACCATTCCACCCTCCTAGCTCATCTTTTCCTCCTTGCATTGCTCACACAAAAATTAATGGGTTTTCTATCTCTCCATGGGGAACTCTATCGACATAGAGTCAAATATTCTGCTCCCTATCCTGTACCCTCTTCTAAATTCTACTCTGTGGAGGACAGCGGGTGAATACAATTGAAAAATGGTTATTGGTTATTTTGTCAACCCTAATGATTTTATTGATTCAAGGATTACCAATTAGTATAAAGCCCCTAGGTGAAAGAGAACCAGGCCTTCAAGTTTGTTGAAACAATGGCATACAAGAGAAACGTAACTTTACAATCGAGGGATCAGGTTGTCACCTCTCTGATCCCAGAGTCGGCCTTAGAGTCATTTCTGGTGGGTTCACCAGATGATTTCCATCTCCTGGCATGAAGGATCTAATATCACCTCTGAAGTACTCTTGCTAAAAATTGTTCAACCTGAATCAGATCAAGTTTTTAGATCTAATTGTCTGGTTACAGGAAATACAGGGGCAGAGAAATCAGCCAAATGACCTCACAGAGAACTCATCAGACAAATGCAGAAGGTGGGACGTCTCCTGAGCACGTTGAGATGGAAGCAATAGAACAACTAGCCACAACGTGTGGTCTTGGAGTGGATTCTGGTTTGGACAAACTAGCTGTTAAAGATATTTTTTGAAGCAACTGGGGGAATTAAAATATGGACTGGCTACTAAATGTTATTAAGGAATTTTAATTAATTTTCTAAGTGTGATCCTATATTTTGGCTATGTTTGGAAATGTTCCCTTTTTAAAAAATTTGCATTGTTGTCATCGCTAATGGGTTTGAGAGTATCTTTTTTTAAATTGAAGCATAATTAACATACAAGTGTTACATTAGTTTCAAGTGTACAGTATAGTGATTCAACAGTTCTCTACATAACTCAGTGCTCATCCCAATAAGTATACTCTTCATCCCCTTCACCTGTTTCGTCCATCCTCCAGCCCACCTGCCCTCTGGCAACCACCAGTTTGTTCTCTGTATTTAAGAGTCTGTTTTTTTGTTTGTCTCTTTGTTCTTTGTTTGTTCATTTGTTTTGCTCTTTAAAGTCCACATGAGTGAAACCAAATGTTCCCTTTTTTTCTTTTTAAATCTTAAGTAGGCTCCATGCCCAGTGTGGGGCTAGAACTCACAACCCTCAGATTAAGAGTCACACACTTCACTGCCTGAGCCACCCAGGCACCCCTCAAATGTTCCCTTTTTAAAAGAGACATATACAAGGGAAGGGAGGGAAAACCGACTGGGAAGAAATCAGAGAGGGAGACAAACCATGAGAGATTCTGGACTACAGGAAACAAACCAGGAGGGGGGTGGGGGATTAGGTAGCTGGGTGCTGGGTATTAAGGAGGGCATGTGTTGTGATGAGTACTGGGTGTTAGATGCAACTACTGAATCACTGAACACTACATCAAAAACTAATGATGTACTATATATTGGCTAACTGAACATAATAATAAATAAATAAATAAATAAATAAATAAATAAATAAATAAATAAAAATAAATAAAAGAAACATATACGAAAATATTTAAGAGCAGACTATTATAATGCCTATAATTTACTGCACTATTTTTTCCTTACATTGAAGTATTTGTAAGTGAATAAAAATACCGTTGACCATGGACTGGTTACACCGAGACTTTTTCCTCCTACTTAGTGCCACGTAAGTACACTCACAAGTGTCTCAATCTAAGATATCCTGAGGGAGGTGGGTTGGATACCTGGTGGAAGACCTGTTCAGTGCAAGGAGCTAGCTTTGGGTGAGTATGAAGATGACCCCCATCAATCCTAGTGGAGGGAACGAGGCCCTTCCACATCGGGGTGGGTCACGTCAGCATCAAGAGGGCAACAGGGTTATCCCAAAATGAGGAGGAATGACTTATTCTCAGCTGCGAGGGCTTCATCTTTGCCAAGGACCTGGTTCTTTCCAAAAGCTTCTAGTTGACTCACCTCCCACTCAGTTGCTTTCTTGGGTTTTAACCGAATTTCATACTGGAGTGTGAGCCAACCAGATCTAACGTCAACCAGGGTAGGTGGGTACCATTTCATCCACAGATATGGTTTTTTGTCTTCTGGCTGTTTTAATTCCACAGTTAGGTTCACAGGAGGGTCTGGTTCAACTGTAGACAGGAAAGAAACTCCACATTTAGTAAAAGTGGTATCTGAACACAGAACTGTATGACTTAGAGGCGGCCCTCTCTGCTGTTTCACTCCACCGTGGTTATGAGACTCTTGGCATTTGATATCAGATGCTGGTCAGCAGAACTGGGGTTAGGTTGAAGCAAGCAAGATGCAAAATTTAAGAAGGCACAAATGGCCAAGAAGCACAGGAAAGAGGCTCAAAAGTCACTGAGACATGCAAGTCAAAACCACAATGAGATACCATTTCATACCCGCTAGGATGGCTAGAATTCAAAGAGTGAAAAATAATAAGTGTTGGTGAGAACACTGGAGAAATTGGAACCCTTGTCCATTGTTGATGGGAATGTAAAGTGGTACAGCCACTGTAGAAAAGTCCGGAAGTTACCTAGAAAGTTAAATGTGGTATTACCATGTCACCCATCAACTTCACTCCTATGTATATACCCAAAAGAATTGAAGGCAGGTGTTCAAACAAAAACTTGTACCTCAGTGTTCATAATACATTATTCAGAGTAGCCAATAGGTGGAAACAACCCAAATGTCCATCAACTGATGAATGGATAAATAATATCCATATCATGGAACACGATTCAGCCACAGAGGGAAGGAAATACTGATACATGCTAGAACATAGATGAATCTTGAGAACATTATGCTAAGTGACAGAAGGCAGACACAAAAGGCCACATACTATATGATTCCAGAATAGGCAGATCTATAGAGAAAGAAAGCAGACTAGTGGTTGTTCTGGGGCTGGGATAAAGCGGGGAATCCAGAGTAACTGGTTAATGGGTATGAAGTCTCCATTTGGAGTGGTGAAAGTGTTCTGGAACTAGATAGTGATGGTTGCATAACTGTGTGAATGAACTAACACCACCGGATTTCACATTTTAAAATGGGTAAAATGGTGAATTTTATGTTGTGTGTATTATGCCACACACACAAAAATAAGGAGGCACTTACTCTCAGGTTCCTTTAAGTACAGGTCTGTGAGTACCCCGTGAAGAGTGCCTTGGGTACCAGCTTGTCTTACCCTAATCTCAGTCCTGCTGGTCAGTAATATTTTCTCGATTCATTTATTACCTCCCCAAGTCAGTCTCCATGCCGGGGCGGGGGGGGGGGGATGTGAGTGTAATTGTAGTATATTTGGCATTATAACCTACAGTTGCCTAAAAAAGTGAACTTTAGAAAATTTGCCACTAATCCTAATGCTTATATGTTACTAAGTAAATGTCTAAGAAAGATCATTTTATATATACTTACTAAACAAACTTACTAAACATCATCTGTATACTGAGAAATGCCTCTGATCAAAAACCACTGGTACAAAACTGCCAGCAAAATGTTTAGGATGAATCCTTGAAAGCACAGTTTCTCAACCTCAGCATTATGTATCTTGGACCAGACTCTTCTTCATTGGTGGCTTGTGGTGGGTGGGTGGGGTGCCGTCCTGAGCACTGTAGGCTGCTTAGCAGCATTTCTGGCCTCTACCCATTAAATGTCCGTAATACCCTGAGAGCTCTTCCCTCGGTTGCAATGATCAGAGATGTTTCCCATCATTGCTAAACATCCTGGGGGAGGCAACATAGCCCCGAGTTGAGAATCACTGCTTTCAAGCATCTTCAACATTGCTAAATGTAATTCAAGGGCAGTAGCAACAAGAACAAGAACAAAATCTATTTCTGAGAGATTATCTGCCAGTATTGTCATTCTGAACTGCGGGTTATCACAGGATGAGACTTAGTCTGATAGAAAATGTACTGTGGTTAATACTGATTAAAAAAAAAAAATTTTTTTTTTTTTTTTTTGAAGAGAGTCCCAAGCAGGCTCCACACCCAGCTCAGAGCCCAACATGGGGCTCGATCTCACAACCCTGAGATCATGACCTGAGCTGAAATCGAGAGTTGGACATAAACTGACTGATCCACCCAGGCACCCAACACTGATTTTTAGATGAATTCTATGGCATCAACATAGAATCCTGTCATCAACACTGTATGATGTAGGGTGATATGAGAGTTCCATAAACCCTTCTTTCATTTTTTTGGAAAATACAGCCCAACAATTTTTCACCAGAGAATTTCTTTTCCAGAGCTCATGTGAAACTGATGCCCTCATTGATTTCACTTTTTAAATGCACTACTCTTTAGTGATTCCGTTTTTTGTGACTACGTTCATTGTAGCAATGGTTCATTTCAGAACGTTTTTCACTTTTGTTGTTTTGCCCTCATATGTTAAATCCGTAAGAGAGAGACCACGACAAAGGAATTATTTGGCATTTAGCATCTTCAAGACTTTGTATCTCAAGTAATTTATATGACTAGAATTTATTTTATTCCTACTTGCCATTGGGGTTGCTTTTCTGAGTTTCTTAAACTAAAATCACATTCAGTTTCCACCCCCAGGCTCATTCCAGTGATTTGCTGCAAGAGAAATTGTTCAAGTGTGTACTGGTTGGTACTGGAAGCTTTTCTAGTTTTTAGGGATAAACCACTGATAACATGCCATTGGGATGATATGCAAGTGAACACTTCAGAATCCTAATCTGATTTTCCTTACTGAGTGGTGTTAGGTAAATCCGGAAGACTTGGGTAAACATGAACCTAATTAGCTATTCCCTAGATTATTACCCAAGATGAGGGCTGAACCCTGGCCTGGCCAAGCCATCTCTTGTCCTAAAATTCCCTCTGTCATCCCCGCCACACCATCCAGGCCACTACAGTGATGCCTAATTGCCCTGCAGCTCGCTGTTGATCATGCAAAGCCAGAAGCAGCGTTTGGGTTGACTTCGTTTTACTTTGCTAATGACTTCTCCAAACATTGTACTTGTGACCTTGGACTTCAGCCTGTTGTTCAAGTAGTAGTATTTACTCCTCACATTATTTATTTTTATTTATTTATTTATTTATTTATTTAAATTAAAGATTTTATTTATTTATTTGAGAGAGAGAGAATGAGAGATAGAGAGCACGAGAGGGAAGAGGGTCAGAGGGAGAAGCAGACTCCCCGCCGAGCAGGGAGCCTGACACGGGACCCGATCCGGGGACTCCAGGATCATGACCTGAGCCGAAGGCAGTCGCTTAACCAACTGAGCCACCCAGGCGCCCACATTATTTATTTTTAAAATAATAGCTCCAGTTGCTAAGAAGCACGTGTATATTGAGAATTGAATTTGCGGGAAATCGGTTTGGCGCAATCTCTGTGGGTGCAGAAGCAGATGAACACCTTCTAGGAGCTGCTACTCCATGGAGCAGCTCTGTGTTCCATCAGGAGGGAGAAAATAAGGGAGAAGGGGACATCAGTTGCAGGAGGAGAGCCGGAGGGAAGGAGTGATAAGGGACACGTAAGTAGAGCATTCCTTCTGGATGCAAAAGGATGAGAAGAAGGGTCAAGGGAGAGCACAGAAGCATAAGGATCCCAAGCGCCAGTCCTACTGCCGTGAATGATTTGATAAAAATTGGTTTGAGAAACTCAGTTGAGAAGGATATTGTAAATTCTCTGATCTTTCTTTTTGGGGTTGCAACCAAAAGCCAAGAAGACTCGAATTGAGCTTGACTATTGGTAAATCCATAACTGAATAACAAATTCCTTACCTGTTGCCCTTCCCCTTACCTATGTAAGTCACGTCCACATAACGTGGGTCCGAGGAACTGCTTCCCATCTGGTTTGTGGCATTTATCGTGATGATGTACATTGTCCATATGGAGGTGTGCTTCTTGTTGAAGTAACAGGAATTGGGGCCACTGGTTATGTAGTCTGGACATTCGTGTGTGATTGTCTCTCTGCAATGAGTAATATATTAGCAGCGAATAAGAACGTAGTGAACAGAGTTTAATCTCCTGAGTAGATTAGTAACACTGGCTTTTGGGGATCAGACATTCAGAACGCAAGAACCAGAGTGAGGAACGGCTCCCCAGACTTCTGTGTCCTGCCCAGGTCAGCCAGGGGTGAGACAGGGAAGAGGGTGCTGGAGATGGTGGAAGGGTTACGTGAGGTCCTCAGTGACTCTGCTGCTCATCAACACCCCCCTTCGATAGGTTTTTGTGGGCTTTGGGATATATGCCCCCTGCCAATAAATGCTTGAGCTCTCCGATGGCCAAGGCACCGCCCTACCCAGGGAACTGCCGCTGGTCATCTCAGGAAATGTGACTCTCCCCTGTACATACACCCCCGGGGGGCCGTGCACAACGCACCACTTATTGTGCACATGTGTTGAATTACATTTCATTAAAAAAAGATGAAAGAGGGTAAGCATCGCCCTCAGTATATTTCAGATTGCCCTAAGTCAGCAACAGAGTAACATGACTAAGAAAGGGGCTGTTTCAGGACCAGGTGGCCTCATTAGGCTGCTCGCATGTAGACGTCAGGGCCTCAACGCAAGACACAGCACAAGGTGTGAAGGCTTATTTCATTTTGGTGGCCAGTTTGAGTTCCTGAACTCTGTTTACATGATACTCCTCCAGGTCCCAGAAGGGATGACAGCGTTGTGTCCAACAAAGTGCCATCTTTGGGATGTGGTCAGCTGTTGCAACCGGTAAACGTTTTCTTCACTGGGGAGGGATACAGCCCTCCTGGGCTTTCCAGGATGGTTTCACTGTGAGTAAAACAAGGTCCTCACCCAGAGATGACCGTGTTTAGCCCTCGCTGCAACCCTAGCTCCAAATATGCCCTCTGGAAGATCAGAGATCCTGGATCAGCAAATGCGAAGGAAAAAATCCTTACCTTCCTTGGCTTATAGGGCTCTTTCTTGGTCATAAGGATTACATGATAATCCTTTGAGATTGCAAAAGTAACAAATGGCACAAGGTTTACGTCTAAAAGTAACTGGCATTCAGGAGAGATTCATATGTGACCTTGGGATACAACCTGACCTTGGGACAGACACTGGGAATAATGCTGTACTATATTGCTGGGGTAGCAGATGACCTTATACACATGGGGAGAGCTCTTCAAGGACATTAACAGGAGATTGTAGGCATGGGCAGTGAAGTTCTGTTCCCCGGTGGTAGGAGCCTTACTCATGCCAATCCAGGGGACTGTGGGTAACTCTAACTTCAGGCCAGGAGATTGAGGGCAGTCATGCGGCAGTTGATAGGAGAGAAGAGAACTTTTTACCCTTCCTTGTGGTACATCAGCGTGTAATTAGTAGGAAGTCCTCCGTCTTCCCCAGGTTTCCACCAGCAGGTGAATGTTTCCTTTTCAGGAGAACGACATTTCAAGATCTCAGGTTTTCCAGGAGGTGATTGTCCTAGAAAAAGCCAGAAGTCACTGAGGAACAAGGTGCATTCAACCATCGGACCCTCCTGCCGGTGACAGAAGCAGACTGATGGGACAAGGTCAGTGATGAGGTGTGAGGGGGCTGAAGGGTGCGGTGCTCAGAAATGCCAGCAACATGCCTCTGTGGGCTGTCCTGATGTTGGCAGGACTGAGAGAGAGGGAGAGCTGTGTGTGTGTGTGTGTGTGTGTGTGTGTGTGTGTCCTGTGAGGTAGAGATGGTCACTAACCAGGATGGGTCATTAACTGTAAAATTCCAACAGAGTGAACAGCAAGGGTGAGCTGGATGCATGTGGACGGAAGAGTATGTGGCCCTTCCGCAATCCCAGGGTCTATGCAGCTGACATCCTCCCATAGCAGAAGGGTGACCATGAAAAGAATTCTGCCCCAGGCACAAGCATCCTGGGGCACTTTGTGGACACAGTGCTCTCTGGCACTTCTCCATCTGCTCACGACTCTCCATTTTCCTGCCATTCCCACACAATTAACTCAATCTGGGACCTTCTATTTTCTTTTCTCTGCATCATTGACGCTCCTTTGGCTGCTCCCCTCCCTTCCCCTCACCTGTCTTCTCCCTTCCTTCCTGTTTCCCTTCCCTTTTCCTTGATTCCGTTTGGCTTGGACCTCTGACCCAGTCTCACCATCTAGCTCCCCCTTCCCCTGTCCCCGTTTCCGATTCTTGTTTTTTAGTCCTTTTGTGGTCTTATATTTCCCTCTTTCCCCTTGGGTCCTTTTGTGGTGAGGTGGCAAAGGGCTTCCTTGTAGTTCTCTGGTTCTTTTTCTAGGGGGGGAGGCGTGCTAAGAGGTGGGGGAGTGGCTAGCTGCTCTCCTGGTTACCAGCTACCATTATTAGCCGAGAGCCGTATCTCATCCCAGCTGGAAGCTAGAAGGTCTGAATAAGGTGATGGGGAAAGTACGATGTCAAAAGGGTGGGGTTTTTCAGTTGCTGAATCCCCAAAGCTCTTGGTGACCTGGCCCCCTTTCTTCCTCCTTGTCTGTCAGATCCAAAGAGGAAAAGGGTGGCCCTGGGCATTTGCCTTGTGCTGCTAGGCAGGACGCCCATTTTGCCCATCCACGTAACTAACCCCAGGTGATCTTCCTTTTGGCTGCGTTGGATGCCTGACTGTTTAGTTCAGAAAATCAGCAGCAGAGAGGAGAGCTTTTGAAAGGTATCAGTCCCAGCAATTCAGGGGTGTTCTCTCTGTTTTCTCTTATACTTGTCTCCCCCCACCCCTTCCCACTGGTTCCTGGCCAGAACTTCTCTCTGAGCACCAGATCAGGAAGATCAAGTTTGGAGGAGAACATACATGGGAAGAGGGGACACCAGGCGAAACTGGCCAGGAAGAAGTTCATGGAATGATATGATGCAGTGCACAGGCTGGGGCTGAGGACAGTAGGCTGATCGTGTCGCTGGGGGCTAAGCTACCCTCTGGCTCCCAGCCACCCTGAAAACCATCAAAGAATTATAGGAAACCTTAAAACTCCATGCCAGCCAGCCTGGGGTTAGGTCTGCCAAAATTTGTAACATTGTTTATGCTCCAGGGCAAATTTCTTTAGGATAATCTCACAGGTTGAAGTGATTTGTTTGTTGTGTTTCGTTGTGGCTGGGGACGGAGCATGTGGGACAGAAAGAAAAGTTAAAAAAAAAGACCAAACCCAAACCCTATGGCTCAATAATGAGCATCCTCAGAAGCCAATTAAGGCAACTGTTGATTATTTGAGTACTTAAAAGTTTCTCTATGGATTACGCTGATCTCTGTTCTCTTTTTTCTCTCCCTGGAAGCTTATCTTTTTCACATTTCACTGGTTATTCATAGTACCTCTGGGAAATTCAGGAGAGGAGAGCACAGTTGCGAAATTACAACTAGTCAAATGTTCTTTTCACTCACTTTAGCAGAGACAGTGAAAATTAATGGACTGCCTCACTATCTTTATAAAATGCACACAGAGGGACAACCACCTAGGTACCATACACACAGGTACACGCTTATGTCCACATTAGAGCCCACCTCACAAACACACACATGCACAGCCCCCCCGCCCCGACATATATGCAGCTGCATACTCAGAAGTACACTTGGGAACATACATGGAAATATACACATCCAGGGAGGCACACACACAGATAAATACTCACACTGGTATACACAGAGAAGCATTTGCAATCAGATACACATCGAAAAGTTAATACACACAGAAGTGTATTCAAAAGTATCCGCACTCAAACATGCCCAGAGCTGGGCGCACAGAAATGTACATACGCCAGCATGCACACTCTAGCTGTGAACTTCATTTCTCCCATTAGCCCAGAGAATAGAGTTAGCTATATGTTTCCCATCATATGACAGCAATCCCTTTTATCTCTTTACTGTTTTTCAAAGATTTTCCACATGCACTATTTCATCGCAGGTGGAGGGAACATCATAGTCCTCACTTTGAAAATGTGGAGACCCAGAGAGATTAGGTGATTGGCTCAAGGTCACATAGCTAGTAGCAGCTGACAGCAGCTGGACCGAGACTCTGGTCTTGTCGTTCATACAAGCTGCTTCGCTATAGTCTCGGGGTGAGGATAGAAGGCAGAGCACAGGGACACGCTTTGAACGCATGAATGCATGCACTGCATTCATTCTTTTGCATTACTTTCTGCATTGATTTTCATGCCCAAAATGTTGCAGATAATTTAATAGCAGCCAATGACATTTTCATCTCTTGTAACTGCAGGATGAGATGGACTCTCCACCCTCTCGAGAAACACCCCCAGGGAATTAAAGAGAGCAGGACAGTCCCTTACTTACCATTCAGGAGACTGGTGTTGAGAAAAAGTAGCAAAATGAAAACAACTGTGGATGCCACACTTTCCTTCATTTTGGTTCCTTTCTCTTTCTACAGGAAATGTATCAGACGTTCACTGAAAGAGAAGGCACCAGGCAACTTTTGTAAAGTAACACTCTGGCCAGGCACACGCCCCGCTTTATTCTGGGTGTTTGCAACTGATCCTTGCTCCTTGCTTAATGTGAATGACAAAACAGGAGGAAAGGAATGTAGGAAAATGTAACATGGTTGGATGGCTTGGCTCAGAAGCATCCATGCACACGGGCTAGGAAAAATTCCACCACCAGAGGTCACCAGATGACAACGTTCACGGGCAGCTGCGGGGCCACCGCTCTTGTGCGAAGACCCCCCCCAAGAAAAAGTGTCCTCTTTCCACCCTGTGGTGACTTAACCATATATCACCCATTTTACGTGACACAGATTGCATGCCCTACGAGAGAACCATTCTGGGAGGGCTTTGATCCATCAGCCAAAAATAAAGCAGGCTGAAAAGTCAGCCGCTCGGTAAGTTGCCTCAGTACGAAATCAGCCTGGCCTCATCGATGCCAAGTTAGGGGGGGCTTTCTCTGAAAGTGTAGGCTGAGCAAGAAGTTTGCTGGGCTATGGGCATAACTGTGAACCACACAGTGAACTCTACTGAACCTCCCTGTGCTTTCTTTCCCCTCTTTCAAGCAATGACAAACCCCAGTGATAATTCATGTCTCTTGGTTTGGGAGTATTAAGTAAATTTTGAACCTGCACGGGTTGAGAGTTTTGAGCAATTTATTATTAATACTATTATTTTTACCCCTGGAACAAATTTCAAAGCCTCTAAATGTCCTTCTGAGAAGAAAACATTTTTTAACGACATTTGAAAAAGGCTCATTAGTCTTGTTGGACTCCAAAAAACTCTCAGAAAACAACAGATTTGATGAACTAAATGTAAATTCTTGGAAACACATGGCATATATTTTCTTTTAAATCTTATGATTTTTATAGATCAGGGAAGAACATCCAGAAGTAAGGCTGCCCCTCTTGAGACGTTCGGAACGGCTGGGTGTTGTTTGATGAGCACTGAAGAGACCAGCTTTCGCCCGTCCCTCCTGGCCACAGCTGATTCCCCACGTGCCCGCTGGACACCACCTCATGGACCGCTTCTAGAAGGCGTTCTCTGCCTGCTACCACTCCCTCTGAGACATACTTGGAAATAGAAATCTTAGTGGCAACAGAGATTTGGGGCATCTAGGCACCACCAAGCACTCTCTTCTACTGGGGCTGCCGGTTTAGTAACGACTCCTGTGAGGAAGCCAGTAGGTTGTTCTCTGGGGACCTTCTAGTTGCTCTTCCAGGAATCCTCCCAAATGCCTCCCCCTCCCCAGGTTGCACACTCTAAACTACCTGCCCCATCTAACCCCAATTTAAATTAAGTTGCTAAAGGCTCGTAATGGGTATAATCAAATTTCAAATGTCTCTCTTGTCCTAAAAATGTAAAAAGTCTTATTTCTTGCAAACAAATTTTACATGTATTCATCCCTGGTTTTAAGCATTAGGAACTGTAGTAGGTGCTTCCTTTGGGGTCTGCCTGGTTGGGGTTGTCTGGCCACCAGGTCTCCTTACCTGTGGTTCCACCCTGGTTAGATGGCCTGAGGCTAAAATAACAGGGAGAGAACCCCATAGGTACCCTTTGATTTCCAAGAGTCTGGCTTGTCTTTCCAATATAGAATGCCAACGTTCAGTCTGGAAAACAGAAGCCATAATCTGCTCAGGGTGGGGAGAGCGGCAGAGGGCTGAGATTAAGGCTCAAGATTAAGAGCATTATATAAACTTTCCCCAAAGTCGATGGTCAGTGACTGCCTGTAGTGTGACCAAGTGAATCCCTGAAGCCCTAAAGGTGAAAAAGCCCAACAAGAACCCAATAAGATATGGGATGAAACTCTGCATACAAGAGAACTGGTCCTATGTTCGTGTTACCCAACACTAGACGTGGAGCCGGCTTAGTCTTCTGTCTTTGAGAGGGGAGGGAAGAGGTTTTAGGGAGAACGGGGTAGCTGCTCTTTGAGGCAGGCACAAAAAGCTGGGGATGTGGTGCTTGGGGGAACCCTGCGGTGGTGGGGCGGGGGACGAGGAAAGGGGAGGGGGTAGGCTCTAGCTCTCTCTGCGCTGCAGCGAAGACCTGTTTCTGAGCGAGGACAGCATATTTACACATTTGCCAGGGAACCTTCACCGCAGGACCCTTGCTCATGGGACCATCCGTTATTATTTTTTATCGCTGCAATGATCAAGTGGACATTTTATTGCTTCTCAAACACTTGTCCATCTTATTCCCTACATCCTTTGGTGGGAAACGTCTGGCACTTTCCGCAAGGGAACTACTTGTATATACAACGACCATCCCACGAGAGCCCAGCGGTGCCGTCAGAACACCAGGGCTGTGTGAGAGTTATTAGAAACAATACAGGGGCTGATACAAACTGCCCACCTCTGATTTCAGACAGCTTCCCGCCCCCCTCTTCCAGGACCCCCAGAGGGGCCACTGAGCGGGCACGTGGTGGAGACGCTGCTGGTGCGCCGAGCCCTGGGAGCCAGAGGGTGGGGGGAGGCGGCGTTTCTCCAAATCGAAGCTGACTCTGCATTGGGACCGCACGCACATGGCACTTCAACAGAAAGATCTCCCGGCTCCTGACCCAAGCAGGGTAAGCTGCCACACTGTCGCGCACGCACCTCTGCACCGGAGTCACCTTTAATAACGCAGGGCGCTGAAATGCGTCCGGGTGGCTGGAGGCGTCGCGCACGCCCACTCCCCTCGGCCCACGGCACCCCAGCGGCACTCCTGCGGCACCTCGGACTTGAGGGAGGCTGGTTCTCACCCGGCCTGCCTGGCTGGAAGGCCAGAGCATGCGGGGGAGCTGCAATCCTCCCCCGCACGCTTCAGGCAGAAGGCGCAAAATAGACGCTGGCCTCATTTTCAGAGTAGTTTCTCGTGAGATCATCAATCAGCTAAAAACATTTTTTAAAAACACCCTACGTTGTAGATTGTGTTTTACATCGCTGCTCCACAGAAATTAGTGAGTTTCTTTTTAAAATATTTTATTTCAGAGAGAGAGAGAATGGGAGGGAGAGGGAGAGAGAATCCTCATGCCGACTCTCCACTGAGCACCGAGACCGATGCGGGGCTCGATCCCACGACCCTGAGAGATCATGACCTGAGTGGAAACCACGGGTGGGAGGCTTAACCGATTGAGCCACCCCGGCGCCCCAGAAATCAGTGGTTTTCAATCCAGGATTTGCATCAGGACAAGGTAGGCCACTTCTTAAAAGTACCCATTCCTGTGCCTTCTCCCTAGAGATTCCGCTTCATTGGTTGAGGGTTGGACCCACCTGTACAGCGGGCATCTGTAAAAGGCCCTCCAGAACATCCCAGTGGGAAGCGAAGGGGGGGGCACTAACGGGCACATAATCCCCTGACACACGTCACGCCTCTGCTAAGAGGCTCCGTGCGACAGGAGAGGAAGCTGAGCCTGGGAGAGGCCAACAGGCTCTGTCCGCCATCACGCAGCGCAGAAGGCACAGAAAAAGCGGGAACCCAGCCTTTAGACTCTGGGTCCTGCCTCAAATTACTAACAACATCAAAGATCAATTGATAAACCTCTTGTCTACATGGTGAGTTATAGTTTGCAGAGCACTTTGCACTTTCTCATCATTATCACATGTTATTTTTACAATAATCCTGGCCAACGGGCAGGGAAGCTACTGTAATTATTCCTCTTACTCCTCCTGCTGCTACTGTGACTACTGCGTCATTGCTCCCATTTCAAAGATGAGAACACTGAAGCTCAAAGGGGTAAGTGGTTTGAACCACCTTATCTTAAAAGCCTCCAGTGTGCTTAAAAATGTGTGGTGAGAAAATTGGCAAACCCTTACGCAGGATACACTACATGCCTCCCCCCCCCATAACAAACCTGAGACGCAAGGACTATTAATAATATGCCCATTTTACAGTTGAGGACTACTTGGGCCCAGAGAGGCTCCATGAGTTATCCAAGGTCACACAGCCAGGGAACACTGTATGGAAGGGGACGAGCTCAGCAGTTGGGCTCTGAGATCTGTATTGTTGACCACCCTGCCATGGCCACCAGAAGCCCTTGGGGCTGTGGGTTCTGTGCCCTTTAAGGGGGTCCTCTACCTGATAAAGGGCTCCCTTAGCACACGCCCCCGACCCAGAGGTGGCTCTGGGGCTGGATGCCATGGGACGCAGGGACGGTCCATCAGTAGGAATGGGTGTTCCTGGATCACTGCTTCTAGAGTGTTCTAAGCACCATCCCAGATATAATGGGTCAAAAGTTTTAGAGGGCAGGACCTAGAAAGTGGCATTTAAAATTAAAAAAAAAAAATCACTGAAATATTACTGGCATATAACATTGTATAAGTTTAAGGTGTACATCATGTTGATTTGCTACATTTACATACTGCAGTATGATTACTACCTTAGTGTTAGTTAACACCTCCATCATGTCCCGTCGATGGGAACAATTAAAATCTAGTCTCTGAGCAACTTTGAAGTTTATAACACAGCATCGTCATCTATAGTCAACCAGGCTCCGCATTAGATCTCTAGGACTTATTCATCTACCCGTTACAAGTTTGTCTCAGAAGGGGCGTTTTCAACGAGCACTTCGCTGGTTCCTAGGCAAAGAGGTGGGGAGGGAGATGGTGGTGGTGAAGGTGGAGTTGGCTGCTTCTCCAACCCTGGGGGCCTAGACAGGGCGTTTTCCTTGGGACCTGAGGGAGTTTTCTGTGAGGAGGGCTCAGCACATCAGGAGCTGTGACATCAAGGGAACTCCCTGCAGGGTGCACTGAGGCCAGCTCAGACCAGGAGGCAATCGTTGAAATTTTCAGAATGCTGGAAGCCGCATGGCTTCATGTTGGTAGCCTGAGATCAGCCACGGTGGGAGTGTTTGTACCACGGGAATTGGCAAATGCTACAAATCAGGATTTCTTGTTTCTTCTTCTCTTCTCAGGGACAGTTGTTAAACATTTCTGGCACACCCGCAGTGTGGGTCCAGCTCTGGACTCGATGCTCTCCCACGTAAGAGGAGG